CGTCTTTGAAATTAAGAAAATCGGCATCTAAGATATCGGAGTGTGGGATACGGTCGAGTATTTTTGAGTGATTTGCCGTAATTTTCTTGAGGGGAAATCCTGTTGACCTGAGAGCTTCGATAACGTGGGCCATTGATTCTATAGTGGACTGTATTTCGTGCCCGCCCGATAAGATATCATCTACGTACGTTTCGTGTAGTAGGATATGGGTGGCAAAAGGGTATTCTCTCCTGCAAGCTTATGCGAGTTGGTGCAGTGTTCGAATTGCCAGATATGGGGCACAGTTAACGCCAAACGTAACTGTTTTTAATTTAAAGTCTTCTATGGGCAAGTTTGGGGATCTGCGAAATACGATTCACTGGAATCTTGATCTTCCTTGTGAACGAGGATATGGCGATACATTTTGTCAATGTCACCGTTAAAAGCGAACTTATATAGCCACCACTTCAGGAAAACTAGCATTAAGTCGTTTTGTAGTACTGGGCCTGTGTGCAGCACGTCATTGAGAGAATTCCCTGAGAGGGACATTTTCGGACATGTCGGGTTTAATGACAGCATGATGGGGCAAATAAAAACAGAAATACCTCCCATCTTTAAGTACTTAGCCGGGTGAAGTCGGTGCCATGTGGTTGATAGTAACGTATTCTTCCAAAACTTCATTGTATTTTTGTTGCAGATCCGGTTTCCGTTCCAGCGTCCTATATATGCTGATGCATTGTTGTTGTGCTGCAAGTCGTGAATGGCCGAGGGCNGCAGATCCGGGTTCCGTTCCAGCGTCCTATATATGCTGATGCATTGTTGTTGTGCTGCAAGTCGTGAATGGCCGAGGGCAATAATTTCAGGAAATTCTGATTTGAATGGCAATTTTACCACGTATCTTCCATTTTCTTGGCGTGTTGTGGTTCTTTGATACAGATTTTCGCAGAACTCATTTGTTTCTGAGCGGGGGTGAATATTGCTGACTTCCTCTTGCTCCCAGAATTTTTTCAGCAGAGTGTTGAGGGAGTCGTGTGAGGTTTCCGTGACTTGGGTTGTAAATGCTGCTGTTATTTGCGTTGTTGGTCCACTGACAACCCATCCAAATATCGTCTTTTGGACCAGCAGGGAGCCGTTTCCGATGTGTTGTAGCCCTTGCAGGAGGATCTTAGGGATTACGTCGCTGCCGATCACCATGTCGATTCGAGATGGAGTGAAACATTTTGGGTCGGCTAACGGTAATTGGACGATTCCGTCAAAGCTAATATTTGACACTTGGGTAGAGGGAAGGAAATGTATGAGCTGAGGTAGTATTATCGCTTGAGTTTTTATTTGTTGGGTTAAGTCTGACGAACAAAGCGTTATTTCCCAGATCTTTTTGGATTTTGAACAACCGCACCTCCTATTCCTAATATTTTGTAATGGGAATCTCTTATGGGTAAGCAAAGAAGTTTTTATATCCGCGACCCTAGAAAGGCTTTTTGGTTCCGTTACTGCTCGAGAAGTGAGTTGAAGCCTTCTTTACCTGTTTTTGAATTGAGTTTTGGGAATCATGCGATATGCCGGTTGAGGTTGACGCTATTTCACCATCTTTACCTACTGGGTTTGCTACCTGAGTTGTGAACTTTTGGGATCTGATCTGGGGTTTGGAAATTTGTTTGAACATGTATGGTGTTGTTTGTGACAGTAAACGCATAAGAAGTTGCTTTGACACTCATTTTTTAAGTGCGAGTAGGATAAACAATTTTCGCAATATTGTGCTCTTTTACGAACTTAAGTCGTTCTGGCACTGAAAGTTGTTTAAATTTTACGCAAAGTTTCATTGCGTGATTAGAATTGCACAGTTTGCAAGAAACCGGTTTATTTAAGCCTGTAAGAAAATTTTGAGTTCGGTTTTTGCTTGCAAAGGAGATCTGATTATTTGCTTTTGGAGCGAAATTAGAAAATTGGGGGTTTAGCTTACTCGGGCGTAAACACCGATCCGTTCAACTACTTCATATCGGCTCGTAAGAAATTTATTCGTTTCTGCCCAAAGTGGCAGTTCTTTTCGAGAGCTTAATGATTGCTCCCACAGAGCAAGTATTTCGTTCGGCACACAGTATATACAGTAATAAACCTTTTCGCAGTTTTTCGCCATTTGGACCCCGAGGAGTACTTTTGGGTTGTGTGCAGCGCTTTCGTTTAGCGCGCACGGCAACACTTACTTTGGGGAATTTCGCCTCATGATTAGAAAATGTTCATTTCGGGGATAAAATATACATAATTATGTGTTATTTATGAACAAAATGTACGTTACGTATAATGTTCGGGAAAATTTTAGTATGAGGACGGCAAATTCTAGAAAAAGTGAGGTTGAATGGGGGTAGAATAGGACTCCCTGATTTCAAAA